ATATATATATATATATATATATATACATATATAAAGAGAGACATTTATTTTTTAAATATAACAGTAAAAAAAATTCACTTGCAGATTTTTCTGTAATAAGAAAAATAAATCTTAGATTTGATCCAAAAAATTTCTCGCTGAATTATCTTACCTTTAATGTTAAAGATTGAGCATTGCTTTCGTGGTTCATTAATTTCAAAGATAGTTTTCTATCTTGTTCGAATCTTTTTATTTTATATTGTATTATATATAAAAATTACTATTATTCATATTTATACTTTTTTGGAAGATATTACATCTATACATATTTTTATTACATGTTTCTATCTCAAAGGAATAATTTTCACTTGATTATCTGCGATTTCCCTGCATATGTGCATCGACATAGAACCTCTTTATGGCAAGGCACGATGTTATCTGCGCGACAAGGCTAACGAGTTGTCTCCGATCCTTTGCGCTATTGCTCTTTATTACGATTGGCCTCTCCCTCTGCCTTTCGCCGACGATCGCGGGAACTTTATCGCGAACCGTTTCCGTATTCCGGACCACCGGGCGAGGGAATTATCTTAGAATAGCACCGGTCGCTGCCTATAACTACCTCGCGAGCGGGATCGACTCGTGCGCGCGGTCGGCTTTGACAACGGTTAAGTATCGCCGTCGGTCTGCGATAACACAAAGGAGCGCACGGTATCTTGTTGTGAAAGAACCGAAAGGAAATTTACTCTTTCTTTAGCAAATCTCTTCAGCTCAAAGAATACCTTGATCTGCTTCGAACAATTCTGGATAGTGTAAGATCGGATATCGTACAAGCTGATAGAACAAAACGACGATTTTTTAAAGCGTCGAATTGGCTGATTAGACAGTCTTGCTTTAGAAATGGAATAAACTGTGCTTATAGCCGTTTTTTGTTAACCATATAAACGGTTACTTTTCATCTTTAGACCATTTCTTTTTCTTTTATGACTTTTGTGACTTGATCTCACTATTACAAGCGATGTCGTGACATATAACTTCGTCGAGATATTCGCTTCGAATACGTGATTACAATTTTCTTTCATTCTTTCAATATCGCAAAAAACTGAAATAATCTACATTTCTCGTGCAACTTTTTGTCTTATAGAAAGTATATATAAAAATCAGAAAGATCGTTATAAATGCAAGCTTCTGATTCTTCTTCGTTGTATAAAAAACTGCAATCTTTTTTACATTCCTGGCGTGATTGTGAGACGAGATATAAATTATGTTTATCTTCCCGAACAAAATTTGAAAAAAATAGATATCGGTAGCACAATTAATTATGAAATATGTAAAACGTTGCACTAGCTGAATATAAGAGATACTATTTCCGTCGTTGGCTGGACGATGGTCGGAGCGAAGGCACATGTACGACGGGTTCACCGACAATTTTATACCCGGTGGTTCATGTGAGGCCAAAGGTTAGCGAGTTATTAGCAGAAAATTACCGAGTGCTCGCGGTCTATTACGCGATACACGCCGAAGTGTCGCGCTTCGTCTCGGGGCCGTGAGAGAGTGATGCTTTGGCTATTCCGTGTACCATGCCAGGAGCACAAGAACACAGCCTGTTTCTAGCCACAACTATCAATCGACGACGCAGGATCCAACTGTTCAACAGTGAATATCAGTCATTATCGCGACAACGCATCGAATGGACACTGTGATTATAATTCTTATCTCATCGTATGTATGCCTAGTGTCTTTCGAGAATTTTGCAATTACAAGAAATAAATCACACACATCATCTCTCTGAAAAGAAATTTTTTTAACAAAAATTCTCGTGCAATCTTATCTTCTTTTACTGTTGAAACGCATCATCGTTTTTAAACGGGCAAAGGTTTACAAAGGAGGGTATTAAAAAGAGGCTCAGAAAGGTGTAAATAAAAGGAATAGGGTTTTTATAAATTTTAATCTCCTGAATACAATAATGTTAATAAAAAATAAAAAATAAAATTCGGGATCGATAAGGCACACACCTCGAAAATTAAGCATAAATATGATATATTTAAATAAATTTCAATATTCTTATTTATTTTTCGAAGTGTTCCCCAAATATCACGAACTTTTTAATAATTTTATCATATTCAGGAAGTCAAAATCTATAAAAAATACTTTTATTTCTTTTACTTTCATCTTTTTGGACAAAAATTTGCCCTTTTTGAAAGATATTAAAAAAGGTTCGATTTTTGCTCAAAAGAAGTAAAAGAAACAATGTTTTTTATAGATTTTGATCTCCTAAATATAGTAAAATTATCAAAAGTTCGTGGCATTTGGAGAACATTTTAAAAAGTAAACAAGAATATTGAAATTCCTTTAAATGTATCATGCTCATTTTTTAAGACGTTCTCTATCGATC